TATTATTATTAGAATTATATTGCAAAGCTTACATCTAATTGTCTTTTAATTTCTTACACGAAGTTTTGTTTTTCACATTTTAATCATTTCATGCGAAATCAAGGCAAGGCAAGAAAGCCACTAAGACGCCAGAGTAATAGTGAATATAAGGAAAATATTATTAAGAAGAGAGAACAATAAAAAGTTATCTTTTCCACCGTTGTCTAATATAGAAATATGATTCTTTTTTCAACTAGTAGTATCCGATATAATTGTCTTCAAATTGATGCGATGAATGATGATGCAAACTAACTGAACACTCTTGTGAAACATACTGTCATAGACTTAGTACGATTGGCATTGCTGCTCTAGTTTCTGTATGAAGTGGAGCCACCAGACCCAAACCTAACATATTTTGGGTTTATAATTCTCTTATAACTAGTTCGACAATAAATCTTTATCTGAAGTGATAAGAGCTGGAATCATACTTGAATGTAAGGCAAAAAGCAGGAAGAGATTTCCCCAAACCAGAAGAGTGTTATGGTCCGGTTCCTTGTACCACGGTGATAGTCCAAGGTAGAACCAATAAAGAAGAACTCGAACACAGGTATGGAACAACACAGCTATATTACAAACAGGAATATATAACAAAGAAGTAGAAAGTGTTAGTACGAACCATCAGGTTTAGTAGTAATTGTCTGAACGCGACTCTGTTTCGGACTGCCTCTGACTGCCTCTGACTCGACTGACTGACTCGCTCGCTCTGACTGACAGACTCCTGACGGACTTCTGACGGACCTCACTCCAGACTTCAGACTAAACGGTATTTAGTCACCCACCACGAGGGCATCATGTGGCACAAGGCCGGTTTAACGTGGGATCTCCGAGCCCGTTGGCTCGGCCAAAAATATGCCTTTTGAACACAGATATATTACAAACAGGAATATATACAGAGAAGTAGAAATATATACAGAGAATATCGGTCAAAAATATGCCCTTTGAAACCGTATAAACGGGTTCAGGGTCGGTTTACCTCCCTGAAAGAGACTCCGCCCTTCGGCGTAGCCTCGTTCGGGTTCCTCCCCGCCCGAAGGCAGAGAGTTCAACCGATCAGCCGATCATCCTGTCGTCCGACTTCGAACTGAACTCTCTGCTTCCTCTTGAGGCGCAGTATTTATTACGTATGGAATAGTCCATTATATTATTATGGGTAAGGTCCCATAACAAAGAGAATGTTAGCATAGAACTGACGGTAACTTCTATCCAGTTCCACTGTAAATTGATATCTTGCCACCAAGCTAGCAATGCGCTTAAATTCATAGAGTCTAGGCATCAGAGAGGAGAGTTCATTAAAACTTTTGCCATGAAAGTATTTATAAAAAAAGGTATAGGAAAGATACATTAGGACGGTGGGAAAAATACTGATACTGAGATGCCAGGACCGGACTAACAACATTGGTAATTCTTCTTTTTATTTTGTCAAGAATCTCTCAATATATTGTAGAAGGACCAGGCCATCTGTGGCCGTAACATTCTAAGACGAATAGTAGAGTAATACATATGTAAGATAGATTCTGAGGAAATGAATTGTGTAGCACGGCACAGTGAAGCCAACTTCCTAGCAGCAGACCAAGCAATAGATTCGATATAAACTTTCCCCTTCATAATATTAGAAATCGTTAGTCTTAGAAGGCGCAATGCCTCGCTCTCCTGGAGGCTAGCATCAGCCATGTGAATAGAAGGCAAAAAGGACTCTATCAAATGATTAATAGAGATAAATTTCGTTTTAGAGCGGAAAAAAAAACTAACAAGTATGAATGTAGGTCATTGTTTTTATCATTTGCAAATTTGACCTTATCGAACCGATTAGATTTTATATTAAGACAGAAATAAATGGCTGTGTTATCAGCATAGATACCGAGTTTAAAAGTGAAGCCACCAGGCATATTGTTGATGGAAATTAGGAACAATATACGTGCAACGAACATTTGCATTAATACATAACGGTCTAGATGAATGGCTGTTAAAGATAACTTACTTTTCACGATTCGAAAAGACAGACTGAATTAGTTCATAACTCTGTAAAGAAATAGAATCGTAATATTTTATAAAATACTAGCCGAGTTACCCGCGTGTGTCACACATTTGTTCGTAAGAAAATGATGATTGATTTTAAATCTTTATAAAAATTTGGGGCGAAAATCACACATTTCAATATTACCAATGAATCTAGCCGAAATGGCCTCCATCTTCTGGTTTTCTCCTTCTATCTTTTGGATAGGAGTTACTTCTTTGTTCAAATTCAAATTTAATTTAAATAAAACGGAAAAATATTCAGTGGGACCCCCTTTGATCAAAATGAAATATAATTAAACAGGTATCCTGGAGTATGCAGTTTCAGAATATATATTGTTATGAGAATCTATCTCCAAGATCCTAGGAGAAATTCGATAATAAACAGACAGACAGAGGTTTCAGCTTCATATATATAGATTCCATTTTCTTCCATTAACAGTCAAAT